GAATGTTTTTTTTTTTTTTAAAGCACAGGTTTCATACGAGTAAGTGAAAAGCAAATCCGAAACAGGGATTGTTCAGCAGAAACAGAAGAAATGGGAAATTCGAAATCACCCCCATTCCTCTGGGCAATGGACAAACATTCTCCTTCCAACTTGTCTGTTAAATATTACCTCCCTGCCCCCAGTTTCCCCTTTCCTCAGTGAGTCCAGGCTGAAGGGTAATACTGTGCTTTCTGGGCAAGGGGAATGCTTCCAGGATTCCCCTACACATATCAGCTACAGTCGTGTCGCTGTTCTAGGGCATGCTAACTTCCTTCTTCAGAAAAGTCTATATTTTAAAATAAATAAATAAATAAAATTAAAAAAAAGAAAAGAAAAGTCTATATCAGTGGTGGCGAACCTATGGCACGGGTACCAGAGGTGGCACTCAGAGCCCTCTCTGTGGGCACGTGTGCCATCGCCCCAGCCAGGCCCAGACCATCATTAAAGTGCCAAATTCTCTGCCAAATAATTTTAAGTAAATGAAAGCATTTGGGATTGCTCTCCTTACTTTGTTTGGATCATCTTAAGTTAATGTATGAGTTGTTTTTTCTAAAGTAAAACCTCAGTATTCAGGTTAAATTGCCGTGTTGGCACTTTGCGATAAATAAGTGGGTTTTGGGTCGCAGTTTGGGCTCTCGGTCTCTAAAAGGTTTGCAATCACTGGTCTATATACTAAAAGAAGAAACGTAATGCTGCAGGGGCCCTCAGCTACTGCAAGGACCATGCAAGGCTGATGCCTCCAAATGGTTGCATAATTTTTCAAGGCCCGCTTCAGCCCTTCTGGCAAGACACCAGCGTTCTCCGGCCAGACTTTAAGAACCATTTAGATTAGGCCATTACCGGCTGCGGTCACACGGAACATTAGCCACGCTAGAGAGACGGAAGATAGGTGGATTTTCCAGGCGCGATCTCAGCGCCACATCTGGGAAGCGTAGAGCTCCCGTGGCTCACCCGAGGCTTCCCGCCGAAGATGCAGGATAAAAAACTAGTACCTCCGAGGTACTAATTTCCAGTAACCGCGGGGCAAGGGCGGGCATCTGATCGCGTTTCCGGTGGCATCCGGCGCCCGCCCATGTCCCCTTGCAAAAAGGGGTTTTTTTTCTAAGTCTCCATGGATGCGCACAAGCACCCAATGGAGCATGCGCATACTTTGGTGTACAGAAAAAAACAAACCCGTTTGCCGCACCGCGCCGCTTATTTGCCGCGCCGCAGGATTGTCCTGTGATCGGCACCTCCCCCCTACCCACGGGACCTCCACGGAACCTCCACGGGATGTCTGATCACACAACCACACGTTATTTTGCCCCGGGGCAAACAGCCACCCCCCCCCCCCGCGATATCCGGCCCGTGTGACCGGGCCACCTATTTACAGATAAGTGCAGCATAGCATTGTCAACACATTACTTATTATTTTTTAACTTCATTTATATCCCACCGTTCTCCCCAGTGGGGACCCAAGGTGGCTTATATAATTCTCCTCTCCTCCTTTTCATCCTCACAACAACTTTGCCAGGAAGGTTAGGCTGAGCCTTTGTGACTGACCCAGGGTCACCCAGCATGCTTCCATGGCAGAGTGGGGATTTGAACCTGGTTCTCCCGGGTCCTAGTCTGATCCTCTAACCACGGAGTGCATTGAATGGTCAACTGGATCCAATGTAGCTGCCTAAAGGCATATTACATGTTATTCTGAGCAATAACTATAGGTGGGTGGAGATTTGCCAGTTTGAGGCGAGTGTGGAGTCCTGGATGGGATGCCAGAATACCCAACATGAACACTACAAATGGTTCTTGCTAATTTTTTGCCTAGTCAAGATTTTGATGTACTGGCACTTCTAGCAATTTTGCAGTATTCACTTTGCAAACCAAATCTCAGCCATTCCTTGTTTTACAGCCTGTCCCTGGTTTCCAGTTGCTGCCATACTCACAGATGGCCCCAATAGACATCAATGTTGTAAGTTCCGCCCTGATTTCTAAAGAGTGTTCAGTTTTTTATTCTTTATTATTTTCTGCAAGTTTTTTTTAATTGACCAACAAAGATTCTGTTTCAGTGTGTGATGACTAGTACTACGTTTGTTTTATAGAATGCTATGTTGGTATCAGAAGATACCGTTTTCATTGCTCCTTATACAAATGTTTTGTTTTCTTGAAAAACATGACTGTCATGTTTCTCCGGATTTTCTGGTATGTCCCCATTCAGTGTTTGGATTTTTTAAAAAAGTTTGTGAATACAAGTAATTTACTAGCGTTGCTGTTTTTTCCATGCATCTGCTTTGCCCCCAAGGTCTTTAGAAGTTAAACCTTTGAATGGGATGATGGGGTAAGGGGAAGGATGTATCTCACCTCTAGCGAAGTTAATTTTGAAATTACTGGTAATACGTTAAAGGATGATTATGTACCTACAGTAAAGTTTTGATCAAAGGAACAAAAAAACAGATCCTCTGTATTTTAATCAGTGCAGAATAAACCATTGCAGAGTAAATCAATACAGTAAGCAGAAAAGAGCCTCCACCTATAATGGTGAGTGCACTGAGGATTCTCAGAACATTTGAGAATATGGGTCTTCTTAGAAGTATACAAGACAGTGCCCCTATTTGCCTATGTGAAATGTTGGAAGGGTATATTCCATGGAGCCTTGCACAGTTTTAAAATCAAAGGTATTTATTTATGGGGTATTTCAGTGCGTGATGACTAGTACTACATTTGTGATATAGAATGCTATGTTGGTATCAGAAGATACCATTATGCAGTGTGTCTTGAATAAGGAAGATAAAGTAAGAGGAATAAATCAGCAACACATGGCCATGTTTTGAAAGTTTTCCCTGTTGCACATACAATTTAAGCATCTATGCAAACTTAAAATTACCCATTGGGTAGCTTTAAATCTCAGCTTTTAAAAAGCCAGATTGCATCAAGTTCTCAGTGCCTTATCTTAACAGGAGGTTTAGCAGCAGGGGCTGAGATGCAGCAAGTGACTTCCATGTCCCTAGGTGAAATATTTCTCAGAATGAAGGCGGTGATGGAAAGTGCCGTCAAGTCACAGCCAACTTTGGTGACCCCATAGGGTCTTCAAGGCAAGAGACATTCAGAGGTTGTTCACCATTGCCTGCCTCTGCGTAGCTACCCTGGACTTCCTCATTGGTCTCCCATCCAAATACTACCCAGGATCCACCTTGCTTAGCTTCTGAGATCTGATGAGACTGGGTTAGCCTAGGTCATTTAGGTCAGGGCATAAAGGACTAGAACACAGTATAATTAGCTTCTCCCAATGATGATTTGATGTGTTTTTATCTGCTGGTTTAAAGAAATGGAGGGCCTACACTCCCCTCCCCACCCATACTCCATGTCCATTGCTGTCCTAAGTAAGGAGCTTCCAAATTTCAGGCCCTACACTGACAAAAAAAATCCATTCTTGAAATGGGCCAGATATGAAAGAGCAGTGCTTCCTCCAATGCTTGTGAATCATGAACTGACTGAGCAAAAGATATCATAACAAAGCAAGCTTGCTGTCATCAGCCACTTTTTTAACCTTGGACTTAAATGTACCTTCTTGCAATGTCTTAGGAATGTTCAAGAAATTTTACATATGGACATTTAATTCTAAAAAGTTAACTCCTCAATATTTTGTGCACTGTTTCTAATGGGTTCCAATTCTCCCCTGCTTGTTATATAGCTTATGGCTCTGCTTGGACACAGACTGTTTCCTTCAACACAAATATTGCCTGGAGGAGGTGACGGATTGAATATCCCACAGCAGCTGCTGCCACCACCTCAAGCAAGTATTTTATAGCCTGCTCAGCTGTCTATATTGGCAACTTAATCAATCCATCCGTTTCCATGTAGGACCGTACGATAGGATGCTGATGAAAAGCTCAAGCTTGCCCATCTTTCCAGCAGAGCTACAAGTTGGGAATTGGGATCTAAGTGAATGCCAGCCTCCAGGTGGGACCTGCGAATTCCCTGGAATTACAACTCATCTCCAGACCACAGAGATCAGTTCCCCTGGGGGGGAAATGGAAGTTTTGGAGGATGGGCTCAATGGCGTCATACCTCACTGAGGTCCCTGCCCTCCCCAGGCTCTACCCCCAAATCTCCAGGAGTTTTTCAACCTGGATCTGGCGACCCCACCCCACGCTGGTGGCCAGCAGGGACCTGGCAACCTTATCTGGGAGAGGCAATCTGAAAACGGCTGCCACTAGTGCTGAAGCCAATCACAAAGTGTTAAGAGGTTGCAAGCCAAGCAGTGGAATGCTCTCTACAGACACAAAAGTGATGCTTATTGGAGCATGTCCTTCTCCATGAAGTGGAGGGAGGACAAGATCACCTCTTTGCTTAAGGGAGGAGATGCTGTGTCCAACAAACAAATGGGTCTCAGGAAACCCACAGGCAGACCACCATGGCATGGAGATCGATGCATTTCGTGGTATGTGTGTATGGGAAGGATGTTGAAGTTAGTTCATACTCCCTCACAGGAGAACTCATGAAAGGACAGGAATAAGGAATGACAGTGCCACACCGGATAGAATGAGAGCTGAAATAGCACTGCAATATAAATGTCATCCAAAATCATCTTGGCCATTTGCTCCCAAGATAGCTTTGCACAATCTTCCCATCTGTCTTATTGAGGTTCTCATCTATAACAAGGCGACATTACTACTACCACAATGGAACCAGGCCAGTTGATCAGCCTTTAATTATACTTGTTGGCAATGCTGAGATCTTTAGTGTTTGAGAATGCTGCTCACAATCTGTGCCCCACCTGCAGCTTGAACATTGTTGAGTCTTTTTGTTGTTGTTCAGTCGCACAGTCGAGTCCGACTCTTCGCGACCCTATGGACCAGATCACGCCAGGCACTCCTGTCTTCTGCCATCCTCTGAAGTTTGCTCAATTTCATGTTCGTTGCATTGGTGACACTGTCTAACCATCTCATCCTTTGCCGTCTCCAACTTCTTTGACCTTCAATCTTTCCCAGCGTCAGGGTCTTCTCCAGTGAGTGCTCCCTTCTCATTTGGTGGCCAAAGTTTCATTATCTGGCCTTCCAGGGAACAGTCAGGGTTGATTTCCTTTAGGATTGACTGATTTGATCTTCTTGCAGTCCAAGGGACTCTCAAGAGTCTTCTCCAGCACCATAGTTCAAAAGAATCTATTTTTGCCGCCCGGCCTTCTTTATAGTCCAACTCTCGCAGCCATAAATGACTACTGGGAATACCATTGCTTTGACCATGCGAACTTTTGTTGGCAGAGTGATGTCTCGACTTTTTATCATGCTGTTTAGGTTCGCCATCGCTTTCCTCCCAAGGAGCAGGCATCTTTTAATTTCATGGCTGCTGTCACAGTCTTTGGTGATCTGGGATCCCAGGAACGTGAAGTCTGTCACTACTTCCACAACTTCCCCTTCTATTTGCCAAGGAGTGATGGGGCCGGATGCCATGATCTTAGTTTTTTTTTGATGTTGAGCTTCAAGCCCACTTTTGTGCTCTCCTCTTTTACTCTGAGCAAGAGGCTCTTCAGGTCCTCTTCACTTTCTGCCATTAGAGTGGTATCGTCTGCATATCTGAGGTTGTTGATCTTTTCCCCAGCAATCTTAATTCCCACTTGTGATTCATCCAGGCCAGCATTTCGCATGATGTACTCTGCGTATTCATCCTTGTCATACTCCTTTTCCTATGCTAAACCAATCAGTTGTTCCATATCCCGTTCTAAATGTCACTTCTTGACCCTTATACAGGTTTCTCAAGAGACATGTGAGGTGGTCTGGTATTCCCATCTTTTTAAGGACCTGCCATAGTTTGTTGTGATCCACACAGTCAAAGGTTTTAGCATGGTGGGGAAAAGTGGCCACAACTGCTCCTTCCCACTCGGTCCCTTGATAGGTCCCACCCCTCACCTTTTCCCCTGTCTATTGTTACAAGTGGGATGCAAGTGCTGTCCCACGACAGACAGGTGAGGAGGAGAGATAATGGAACACAGAAAGGAACAGGGAGGGAGGCATAATAGCACGTTAATCACAAGGCTCACTAAGCACGGACTGATCTTACCAGTTTCTAGACAGGATTACTATGATTAGACTGGTGAAGCATTCTGTGTAGTTAAATAGTGCTTTTTAAATATAATTTTTTCCCTCTTCAGGAGGACCAATGCAGGCACACTAGCATAAAAGGCTTTGCGTAGATATTTTGCATCAGTTTTGATCAGGGAACCAATGGCTGCTGAAAGTAGGGGCAAAGGACAGCATAATTCACGTGCCTGCAAGAGTTGTGCAGAGGAAAGAATTTTCAAAGACAGAGATTTTCTCACTCCTGCCAAATCTGCTCTTAACAGTTCTTAATAGAAGAAAGGTCCTGTTATCCCTCGCCTGTGATTTCCCCCTATTTACAGAATTACTTGAAAAAAATGTTTTTACCTGGCACCTACCATTGTCAAGCATGATTACTATTTTTTAAATAGCTGTGCTAAGACAGTGTATAGTTCCAGTGCCAGGGAAGTAACTATCAGTCTTATTTGTAGCTTGCCAAAACAGCTGAACAATCTCAGTATAATTATCACTGCTTTTCTTGCAGATACTTCCAATTATATTATCACATATGGGACCACAGGTAAGAAATGGGGCATGAATAAACAAATTGCTTGTGTTCTGAAAAGAAAGGTGATTCCTGCTTCTGCCTCAAAAGTAACTTATTAGAGACATCTGTTTTTCCAACAAGCCTCCTGAAGGAAATACATATGGAATGTGAGGTAATCATCCCACAGATCTGGCATGATTTCCCCCCCACACACACACGAAGCCTACAAAAACTAGATACCAAATGTGAAATTGCACTAAATGGCTAGGGGCTGGTATAGCATAATGGTTCAGACACCGAGATGTGAAATCTCCATTTCAAACCTTACCTCTGTCATGAAGTATTTGCAATATTGGTATAATATGACTCCCCCCCCCTTAGTTATTTATTTAAAACATTTATAAGCCCACCTTTCTCCCAGAAAACTGGGACCCCATGGTGGATAACAAGAGGAAAACATCCTAAAAGCAAAACTAACTATTAAAATTGCCAGCAATACAAATTGCAAAGTTGTTGTAAAGGTAGATTATGGGTTGGATCAAGCCAGCTGTTTCACTCAGCCTCACCACATTCCCTCTCCTTACTACAACCCCTGTCTCTCATGTCTTATCTATGCAGATCCCATGATCCCAAGCATTGCCTTTGTGATGGTAGAAGACCTGCTCCTCCCCCCCCCCCAGCTAAAAAGTGGGTTGGATCCAACCCCATATTTGCAAAGTGCCTTGAGTGCTCAAAAAGACTGTAGAAATACTAGACACTTATTAACCTCGTTTTGTCATAACTGACTCAAAATGATAGGTATTTTCCACATTTAAAGTGGAAGCAAATTTCCTCCATCCGTAGAAGAATGGTTGTTTAAGATGCTAGAATTTGCTGAGATGGCTAAATTAACCTCTTTGGTTAGAGAGACAATTTCTACTTTTATAGTGAGCTGGAAATCTCTTATTGACTTTTTGCACGAAAGGGGGAAATGATCTGATGATTAGTGGATTTGACAATTAGAGAATCATACACACACACACACACACAATTAATGGAAATGTAAGAAGAACTGTTGATGTAACTTTGCTACTTATTCTAAGTAATTGTGTTATAATTTGAGATTTAACATTAAGTGATTGTAATTGTCATTGAGGAAGTTTTGAAAGTTTTATTGGTATGTCTATTCTTTTGGTTTTGTCTCTTTTCTCTTTTCTTCCTCTTTTGTCCTTTTATAAAAAATTTAGTCTGTTTTTATTTAAAATTTTCAATATATATTTTTAAAAAAACTGGAAGTAAATTTCCTGAGACCATGTACGGTGGTGGAGGAGTTTAACCTTCCTCCAAAGAATGTATCAGAGCTCACCTGCTCAAGACATTCATGAAGGTCTTCATGATATTGTCTCTCCGTTTCCCATGTCTTCTCCCTGTGTCATTCTATCATGTTGACTGTAATAGATGCTAGTTGGTTAATTTTTCAGTGTAGAGACTCCAAGAGGCGAACATATGATTTGGAAATGGCATTCACCCTGTATAAGTAACTGTTCTGCAGTTTCTAAAACAGAAGCCAGCATTTTCCCCACTTCCCTCCTCCCTGACAGTGTAACTAAGGAACTGACTTTTCTTGGTATGGAAATAAAACCAACTGAAATGATATTCAGCAAGTTTTGGAATTTGCCAGACATCCAGATTTGGACTTTTGACATCAGTGTCTGAGCTCAGAACTCGATACTGAATGCCAGAATCAAAGATATGCCTATTTTGATTTGTTGAATGAAGCTGATATAAGATAATGCTCCATAATAGGGCAGTGCCTGGCCTGAGTTTTGCAAGTCAGTACTTAGGAGATTTTGTAGTACTATCCTTTCACTTAAAAAAAATCTGTTCAGTTTGTCCTTAATTTTTGCTGCTTCTCTCTCTCTCCCCCCCTTTTGGTTTGAATTTTAGGGTGCAGTGCTCAGTTCGGAAGAAGCGGTAAATAACTTGCTACTTGGTTTTCTATAATGATCTTATAACATGGTTTGTCAGAATCAATCAACAAACGTGATCAATGAATCCGGCACACTTGGTTAATGTGACAGGCTACTAACCACTATGGCCTTTAGGGGCACTGCTGCCACCAGGATGGGATGCATTTCATGCAAACGCATGAAAAACTGCAGAATTTGGTACTGGTTAGGGAATTTAGCATTCTGAAGCATCAGAGCTTTCCTTTTAGATAAGAGAAAGTTTATAGCCCTCATCGCAGTGAAGACAGAGCCTTTTTGTGGGATAGTGGCTGGTACATGAGACAAATCAAATCAGGACTGAACTCTTCCTAGAAGACAAAATGCCTAAAGTGAGGCTATCATACTTTGGCCACATTATGAGAAGTCAAGAATCACTGGAAAAGACAACAATACTAATAAAAGTTCAAGGCAGCAGAAAAGAGGAAGACCCAACATGAGATGACTTGACTCCATAAAGGAAGCCCAGTTTTCAGTTTGCAAGACCTGAGAAAGGCTGTTAATGATAGGCTGTTTTGGAGGTCATTAATTCATAGGATCCCCATACGTCAGGAGGGACTTGACCGTACTTAACACAGACACAGCAGAGATGGGACAATGGCAAGTGAAAACCCAGGCACTGTGTCTGTGCAGGGAACAGGTTGCTTAGTAAGATTTCCAGTGGGCTTCAGCTCATCGCCCTTTCCCATTATGGAGAAACTAGAAATAAGAAGCACAGTTATTCCCTGATCTCTTTTGGTTACGGGCTGTGGCTCAGTGGAAAATCCTCTGTTTTGCATGCAGAAGGTCCAAGGTTCAATCTCTGGCACCTCCAGTTTAAAGGACCAGGTAGTAGGTGATTTGAAGGACCTCTGCCTGAGACCTTGGAAAGCCACTGCCAGTCAGAGTAGACAGTACTGATCTTGATGGACTAATGGCCTGATTCAGTATAAGGGAGCTTCATACATGTTCTTCTGTGATTTCTGCTTGTAGTCTAAGATTCTGACATGCATTCTCTCACTTTTCTCCACACAGGAATCACCTTCCCAGGTTTTTACTGGGTTAATTCTCCCTGGAATGCCAGGGATATTGATCCCTTCAGGCCAGGCAGAAGCCCCCCCTGATGGTCAAGAGGGGCTTCTTCCAGCAGGCCAGGCGGGATCCAACCCAGGCAACTCAGCAGGTCAGCTACCATTTCCAGAGGGCACAGCAGACGCAACGGCCCTAGCAGGCATCCAGAAGATTTCCCCAGCGATGAACGATGACCTGAGTGGGGCAGCAACGGGCCTGCATCCAACTCCCTCCGGGTTTAGACAGCCAGGTTACGAACATGGTGTCACCCAGGATCCATTTGCAGAACCCACGGTCTTCATCAAAATCAATATGGAACCGAGTGAGCTTCGGGAACCACCTACGACAGTCGCAAGACCTGAGAATGACAAAATTGTGGGCGGCCATACTTTGGCCCAATCGCTTGTGAGAGGAGACAGCCATATGCCAGTAACCACCATGGAGAGCAAGCCATTGAGAGAGCCATAAAGAAGGATTGTTTAATGCCATGTATGGAGTGCATTGATCATTACTGCTGGTGTTAATGTGCATATGGTAATTTTTGTTAACTTTAGGGTAGGAATGACAGAAAGATTTTTGCAAAAATATTATGATTATTATTTGAAATTTGAGAACACCCTGTATCTAATACCCGAACCATATTTTAATTGTAGTCCTACAACTTGAGGGTTGCTTTATTCTGAGATTTTCCAAAAAAGATTCCTTCTCACTGCCTCTGTCTTGTAAAAGGAAAGGAAAAAATCCCAACAGTTTAGCAGTGTAAGACAGGGAATGCCCCAGCGATGATGATAATGATAACGGTCCACATTGCAATTTTATAGGTATTGATATAACATTTCCTGCTCTAGGCCTGTGGGGTTATGATAGTTTATTGCGGCTGGGTCTATAAGATGGAACAGCACTCCATTTAATCATTTGGCTAATTAAGTCTGCATCTACACATTACTGGAAACTGACCTATTTTTGCTCAGATTGCCAGCTCCAGCTTTGGAAACTCCTAGAGATTTGGGCACCGTGCCTGGGGAGAGCGAAGTCTGGGAAGGGGAGGGAACGCAGCAGGGGCATGATGCCACAGTGCCCAAAGGACTGTTATAGGGCAAGCTAGCATAATATCTGACATTGGACAGATGCAGCCTAATAAATCCTCAAGGATTTCAAGTAGCTGAAGACAGAGTTCAAGTGTATTTACTATATTCCATGGCTTGATAGGACTCGGTGGATAGTTGTGTGTGCCACATATTTCTCTTCTTCTTCTGGAAATCTCCATGCACCATATCCTAGCTGTTTTTAATTACTGTTGGCCTTGTTGAATAAACCCTATATATCAATAAAGGTATTTTCAAAGGCATATGACTAGGTTTGAATTTGCTATACTGTTTCGGGTTTCAATTGTGCAGAAACCTTTCATTATACAATACTGAAGACCAGGGGTCGTTTCGTAGAAAAAGAGCTAGGGGAACTCATTAGCATAACTCATTAGCATATGCCACACCCCCTGACATCACCGGAAGTGTGTCATAAGGCCACACACCTCACCCCCAACTGTCCCGGCCGCCGCCGGCCTTGCAGCTCCACTGCCGAGCCCCATGAGGGGCCCGGCGGTGGACCTGCAAGGCCGGCGGGAGTGCAAGGAAGCCCCGCAAAGGCCCTCCCTGGCCCCAGGCTGGCAGGGGTGGGGAGAGGCAGGGAGGAAGCAACTTACCCTCCCTCTTCTCCTGCCTCCTCCTGGCTGAATGAGGGATGGAAGTGGGGCGGCCGGAAGCAGGGAGCGGGGCTTCGTCATGTGCCCCCCCGTACCTCACCCGGGGGAACTGCGATCCCCCGCGATCCCCCCGAAATGACCTCTGCTGAAGACTATTATTGTGTCATCCTTATTATTTTGCCACAAAGCTTCTGCATGGGTGCAAAATTCCTTTCCGCCAGCAGCCAACTTGTATATGCAGAAGGGCCCCGGGTCTAGCCCAGCAGATCTATGAGTACAGCAGAAGAATGCTGCCGCAGTAGTGTTCAAACCTTCCCCCATCTCAGGGTTTTGCTTAGAGTATGGAGTCTTCCTTCTTCCGCAGATACACCAGGATCAATGCTCCCTCTAAGCTGTGGATTCTTGTGAGCAAAAATTCTACTTTGAGAGCTACTGGCATTAAAGTTGTGAGCAAGTGATTTGGCTACTGCATAAATTAGTTTGCTCTGGAGCCATCCTTCCTGAACTAAAACAAAAATGTGTGAGCTGGAGGCTAAAAAACAGTGAGCTAGCTCACACTAACTCAGCTTAGAGGGAACACTGACCAGGACCATTTGCTGATGAATTCTGTCATGTGTTTCATTTTTGCAAAAGCAATCTAGCAAGTCACTAAATAGTACATTATTTTTAATAGCCCAAACTGGCCTCAGCCAGCCAAGCACAGATCTAGTTTCGTGCCAGTGAACATCTCTGTGAATACATTTCAGTATGCCACTCAGGTGGCCATGAGTGCTAGGTGACATTGACTTCTAAAAGAACTGGGGCAAACATTATTACATGTTGGTTATCACACAGAGTGTCTTGAAAATGCAAAGCTCAGAATAATCCTTAGCCAAGTCTCTTTAAGGGCATGCATAGGGTCTGTGACATGAAGGTTCTAAATCCACGTCCTTCCAAAAGAAAAGGAGGATTCTCAAGCTGCTGCAAGGCCATGATGCTTGGGTAGGAGCCAGTGTGGTACAGTGGTTAGACTACTGAATTTAGCCTTGGGTTCAAGTCCCACTTGGGCTATGAAGTTCACTGGGCTGATCATCCTCTCCCATTCTCCCTCACAAACTCTAACCTTTATGGTGGAATATCGTATCACGCAAGTAATGTATCTCATTCCTGAACTTCTTGGAGAAAGGGTGGAATAGAAATGGGGAAAACAGCAAACAGTAGGATGCATTTGACATGGTGGATCTCAAATGGTACAGGCGTGGAGTGCCTCTTTCCATCTCATGCGGAGTGGGCTTCTACAGCAGGGACAAGGAAACGATTGGCTGACTGAAACCATGCATAATTCCTTCATGTTACCCAGGTAAGTATATCATATACCATCCCTGTTGCTCCACCAGACTCTTCCATATACCTGATCATTTCTCCCATACCCCTCACTTAAGCTAGCCTATTCCTTTCTTACTGGGCTCTTCCAAAAATTAATCCCTATCATGCAAGTTCATTTACAATAATCCTACAACACAGTTGCACAATTTCTATTCCTCCAACCCATATAGCACTCTGGTAGGGTTCCCAACTAGTCAGTTTTTCACTGGTATGACAAGTTTTTCATCCTTCTAGCCAGTTGCCAGATAAGGAAATAAGAGAGAAGGTAGGCTGTAACCATTTAATGCTTTCTAAGACACAGGAATTTGCTATCTAATGCTTTTAAGGCTTTTCCAAAAGGCAATTTTTAAACATTCATTTTCAGCCAAAACTCCTTGGTGCCTCAAAAGCATCTTCTCTAAACAGCGCAGCTATTGGCTGACTTTTCTGCTTTGTTTCCCCTCTTGATATCTCCTCAGCCAGTAAGAAAAAGAGAGCAGGTGGAGACAGGGAGGAAAAGCAACAAAAGGGGATGTCTTCACAAAATGGGTGCAATGGCCAACCACAAAATGGCTGCTATGGGGCATGAGGCCAGTCACAAAATGTTTGACGGTTCCAATCTAAGCATCTTCCCATGATGGGGGCAGTTGTTTCTGAACAGATGCTCCCTGCAGACATAAAGTTAAACCTCCAAGCCTCTTCTGAAACATGCCCTGCATCAAGGAAGCAAAAGAAAGCTAAGATATAGTTGAGGACAAAGCAAGTGGGTGCCAAAACACACATAAATCAGTGGGTACTGTGTTGGGAATAACTCATACCTCCATTTATTCATCCCTTCTTTCTGAAACTACGAAACTTTTTTGAGCTGAAGCTACAAGATTCCTGCCCATTATATGATTTATGAACTCTGTGAATTTTAAAAGGTACTGGGACTCTTGTTAGAAGGCAAGTGATTCTATGCTTTGTAATGCTAAGCCTGTTTTCCTTTTTGCTAGAAGTCCCCCATCTGGTCTCATTGAAAACTATTTACATATTTAGGTACCCTGGAGACATCTTCTGGGTATTTGCTAATATTCTAGGTCACTAATGGCAGCTCCTTGTCTTAAATTCTTGCATTTTACAACTAATATTTACTCAGACGTCTCCCATGGCTAATCAACATTGCTCAGAAAGATCAAAGAACTTCCCAATCTTGTGCAATCTTTATTTTTAAATTAAATCTCCCCTCCCCACGAGTTTGTTAACACACTTTCTGAAATGTAGACTATGAAGGGAATATGCAAATAAACTGTTGAAGGGAGAAAACTTATTTCCATCTCAAAGCTTTTTTTTTTTCCCATGGGGGCTTTGCCAGAGAAGGTTCATGTGAAAGACTTCCCGTGTTACAGGAATTATCATTCTGAATGCTTTTCTCTCAAAGAAAGGGCTTTGAGTCTAGATAGAAGACTGACTTCTATTATTTGGTAACATGGGGGAAAAATAGGCATAAACATTTGAAGAGCAGAGATAGTCTGAGAACACCTTATTACTCTCAAAACACAAATACTTTTTTTCATTGCTGGGATGATCTCTGGTGGGGAAAAACAGTTCTGTGGTTTTTCAGTGCCCTTTTCAAGTTGAACTTGGAAAACGTTGGTGCTTGACACTAGTTATATTTTATAAGGAGTGCCTATTGGCTAGTACCTGTGCCTTCACCAACATATGTATGTATTAAGTGCCATCAAGTCACTTCCAACTTATGGTGACCCTATGAAATAATGACCTCTCAAGTATCCTATTGCAAACGGAGGGCCTTGGCTTCCTTGATTCAATCAATCCATCTCATGTTGGGACTTCCTCGTTTCCCATTGCCTTCAAGTTTTCCTAGCATTGTTGTCCATTCCAGCAATTCTTGTCTTCTCATTATGTGACCAAATTTTGATAGCCTCACTTTAGTCATTTTAGCTTCTAGGGAGAGTTCAGGGTTGATTTGATCTAGAACCTACTTATTTGTCTTTTTGGTAGTGCATGGTATCCGTAAGACTCTCTTCCAACACCACATCTTTTAGTGAATCTGTTATATGTATTTTATATTTCTATATTGTATATTCTGTAATATCTTATTTTGGTGCTCCTTGCTGAAGTGTTGGGATTGTTTTTGGCTGGATGCCATAATAAAATTTTTTCTTCTACCACCAACACCACATTTCAAAGGAATCAACTTTCTTCCTGTCAGCTTTCTTCATTGTCCAACTTTCACACCCAGGCATAGTAATGGGGAATACTATGGTATGATTTATTTTGATCTTGGTTGCTAGCAATACATACTTACTCTTAAGAATCTTTTCCAGTTTCTTCACTAACACATACATATACTATATTTTTTAGAAAATACAAGGCGAAGGATGAATGTACATGCACTAACTGTCTTGACAAGACAGGT